CAAATACAAGCGCGTCTGCTTCTTTTCAAGTCCAGCACAATACAAAAGCCACACACACTTTGGAAAAGCACCTGATGGCACTTAAAACAAAAAGATTCCACATATTTTGGACACCAAAGAGCTCACCATGCTAAAACGGCTCCTTCTCCTAGAGCCATTTCTTTTACATAGGTTTCCAGTACAGACAGATGCACTCAAGCCATACAGTGCCACATTTCTCCTACCAAATTATCTCGCCTGCTTTCATTCCCCGGTGCTGTTCCAAGTACGTACAACCTCATTTCCTCCCCCAGAAGCAGCCACGGCACAACCGAACCCACTCCAGCAGGAAGCGGTTCACAGACACTGCCTGGACGTCGCAGCAGGGAGGGGAACGCAAAGAACAACGCTGGACAAGCACACGTCGGCTCTTGAAAATCCATGGGCTCTTCAAGGACAAACTTCTATTACGATGGAAGAGGAATTTTTTTTTCTCCTTTTCCTTTTTTTTTCCTTCCATCCTATTTTTCTTTACTCATTTCTCACGAATCTGACTCATTTTTTTCAATTTCCCTTTTTACGACCAATATAGTAGAACAGGAAAGACTTTGAGTTGGCAGTTTCTCAAGGGTTCACTAGTTTTCAGTGCCTCATACCTTAGTATAAGCATATTATTTTGCACTCCAAGACTGTCGTCTTTGTTGTTGTTTAATTTGTCAGGATTACACTAGAACAGGAAGACACAGATTAGTCTCCATCCTTTCTTACAATCTTAGTCCTGAAGTTTAGTCACTGACCTTTTCCACTAATACTTGAAATCTTTTCTGCCTTCCTCCAGTCAAGATTATTTATTTTCTGACGCTTTTAAATGCTCCAGTGCCCAAGCTAGGAGAACTGCTCACTGTGTAACTTTGTCATGGCGTTGGATCAAGCGGTAGGCAATAAAGTTGATATTCATCTGGCTAAGTTGTGCCAACATCCGTGCATACTAACCAGCTTATTCCTGATGTCCATGTCGCACAGTGCCTCAGCCAGGATGGAGCAAGCTTCCTTCACTCCCCAGTGTGCAGCAGCATGCAGCGGAGTCCAGCCGTCATTGTCCTGGACATTCAGATTAAACCCAGCCTGGATCAAGAGCCTGAGGAAAGAAGCAATATTGATTTCTGCCCACCTGAGAATGACTTCTCAACACAGAAGAGTTCACACCATGAGCCACAGAGTAGGTAATGTGGTTCACAATGAGCCCATAGTTTCTGAGCTGGTTTATTCACCTAAGCAACATCCCACTCGATACGCTTGCAACTGTAACAGAAAAGGGCAGTAAATGAAAAGTGACTTCGCTGTAAAACCTGCTGGAATGTGTCTAATTGATAAGGTTCCCTTTCAGCATGTCCTAAACTGGGAGAACACCTTAATTGCTAATCTGGCATCAGTGACCCCGTCTGAACTCCTGCTCCAATGGATGAGACACACCAGACTTGCTGAGGCACTACGTGAGCAACATCTCTGCAGACTGCCATCTCCGTAACAGGGAGCCAAGCACAGCACCTGGCATGGAAAGGACATTTGGTAACTGGAGCTCAGTCTTGGTTCTACCAGAGAACGAGGCCACACCACAGGAACAGTCCGTAAGGAGACGATGCCAGCAGGACTGCCAGGTAAGAAGTGGTGACATAACTGTGATTGACAGATGTGAAATTTCTAAGTTAAATAACCCGCATTTGGGTTAAACAACCCAAAATGAGTTTTTGCAGACCAGTCCTTGCACAGTTAAAGCAAATCTTACTCAAGTGAACTTGCCTGGGAACGCCCTCGCATCGCATTTACTGCTGTGCACCTTCCACCCACTCCCTTCTCTATCAGATCAGAGCGCTAGTGTTGCATAGCATCTGGAGCTTGAATATTTAAAAACAAAACAAACAGAGAAGAGCCAATTGTAGTCTGAAGCTTCAGAGACATATGCACAGTGGCACACCAGTGATCAGATCAAAGTACTGAGCAGCTCAGGTATCAAAACTATTATCCAAAATGGCTTGAATATTGAAGAACATCCCAGGGGAATTCCGCAAGTCTGGTAAAACTGCTACTGAAAGTTTCCATCATGGGGAACTCCACCATCCAAAGCCACCTGTCTGCAGCACACGGGAAATGCAGCACAACCCCAGAATGGCACCAACATTTTTGAAACTCCTGCAGCTCTACACCGATGCATTACTGTGCTAAATAAAACACAGTCATCCTATAGCAGCAGTGTGTTTCTCTGTGAAAGAAATTTTAAATTAGGTGCTGACTTTATGTTGATTTTCCAGCTGGCAAAAGGGAGGAACATAGCTGCTAAGAGACTCAAGGTCACAGACAAATTCCACGTCTCATTTGAGAGTTAGCTAGCTCCTGGCTTTCAGCCCCTTTGGTTTAAGTCACTGAGGCTTTGTATTTGAACTTACAGGGTGGCCATAAAATACACAAGAGTGAAACAATGTCAGCTCTCCGCGAGATCTGTTTATCATTATAACAATTAATGCCAAGGAGTAGCTGTCCAGAACTAGTCACCCTGCAAACAGTGAATGCAGCCTTCATTCACGAGTACTGGACATACAGCCCTCCACTGAAAGGCCACGGGACCAACACCTCAAATTCAGGAAACATTACATTTCTACTCCACATGAGCTGTGGTAGATGAGTGTTCTTGGGCATGGTACAGGCACAGACAGCTTAACTCAATTATAAGTTCTAATGAATGAATACAAATAGGAAACATGGAGAACAACAGAATTACTAGAGCTTGGTAAGAAGCAGCTCTTGCACATCAAGTCATGCCGCTTGAAACTATGAAATTAAGGATCAAGACAGATGAAGGCTTCCAGAAGGGGGTTTACTGTGGGCAATAGAGTCACCTTGCTGATGTTTATGGGCAGCTCCACCCTTACATAAAGAGCAGAGAAGAACACTTTACTGTTGGAAACCTTAATTTGACCTTATCTGTCAAAATATTAATGCTTTATTGCCAGGAAATACTACACCGGGCAAGTTTTTGCTCATAAGCTTGTTGGTGCCAGAGCAGTAGAAGCAGAACTGTTACGTGTTGGAATCCTCTGTCACCGCTGACGGCTGCAGGAGCCATAGCATTAAGGAGCAGGGGACAGGGAGATAGGGTGGACGCTGCATTTTTCCACTAGACTGGTCATGTAAACTGTTGGGGTGTTTGTGATTGTCATGCAGCATGTACTGTCACTTTGCAGGCTGAAATTATACTTTTATCCCCCAATACCGTTTAACTTGCTAGTCCTAAAACTCTAATAGTGAAAATTAAACCTTCTAATTTACATCTCACTCTCTGAAAAGCTTTCATCATTTTAAAGGCCTAGAGGTATGAAAGGGAATCTTCCAGTGCCTATGTATTTCTATACCACCCTGGTTGAGCACATAAACCTACAGGGCCTTTTGAGAAACAGCAGCCTGAAAATCTCAGTATGAAACAAATTTCTCTCAACTATAAAGCTATATGTATTCCTTAAGAAAACCAGCCTTAATTCAGTGCATCAGCCCTGGGAAGGAGCTCCTACCTCATGACTTCAGAATAGCCCTTTGCCGCAGCAACATGAAGAGCTGTGGCACCTGTTCGAGGCTGCTTTATGTCTTCAATTCTCCCGCTGTTCAGCCACTGGCGGGCATCCTGTAGCATTTGCTGCTCTTCCTCTTTTCTTGCCAGGTCTAGGTCTACACCTAAGAGGGTGAAGCATAGAAGAAGAGAGATTATCAAGTGAAAGCTCTCATGTACTTGTTAGACTTACCCTATGTTTCATTTGCTACACAGTATTAGTAAACTATTTGTAATCTTCCACACCAAAAAAAAAATTAATAAAAATCAACAAAAGCATCTTCTAGGAGCTGGGAGAACTCCTGCGTCATTGACAGAGACTTCAAAGCTGTCTGACTTAAAAAATCTGAAAGTTGAGCCACTGGTTGCAAGCCAGCCCAACTAACTACTAGCGCAACTGTGAACTGTGCACTATGAGTGGAATGATTGCATTCTAAATATGCAGTGTCCTAGATCGAAATAACAAAGTAATGAACAACAGCTTAACAAACTGAATTAAACTATGGTGAAGTATAATCTACAGTGAAGATCTGAAGACATGGTCCTAAGACACCTCCTGCAAGAGCAGCACAACACCAACTGTATGGTCACTCAAAATTCAGTGCAATCTGCAAGCTGCACACACAGAGAACTGTACTGCACCAGAGCCATTCGTGCCAGGCACGCCAAAAGAAGTATTCAGTTAATTCCACCGAGCAAACCACCAAATTCTGACAAAATACAATTCTAAATCATTTTGGGGACAGGAGGCCAAAAAAAAAAAAATCCACTCTGATGGCTTAAGAGATCTGCTTTAGATGAAGTCAGATGGAGTAAGTTCATCAATACGCAGATCTGGTATAACAGCTACGGACTATGGGGCTATCCAATAACAAGAGGGACAAGTTTCCCACCCTGGGAAACAACTGCTGCGATGTGGAGAGGCCAGAGCGGTCTGGCTGATGGGCTGTGTCAATTGTCACTAAACCCACAAGAGGCTAAACTATCTTGGACTTGTTTTCATGATAACAAGGTCATGTAAGGACAGTGTATCAATCAGAAGTACAACACAACTCCATACAAGATTGATCAGATAGAGCTCACTGACTCAAGAAAAAATATTTAGGAGAAGCTGACAAATCTCAAAAATCAAGAAGGGTGTTGAAGAGCAACTGCCCCTATGGATTAGTTCTTTCAGTATAAGAATGACATGATTCCCAATTAAATTATGGGGCATTAGGTTTAAAACAGAACAAAAGAAAACACTTATCAACTCAGAGTCTGAATTGTGAAACCCATTACTGCAGGATGCTGCAAAGATTAAAAATACAACTGGCTTCAGAACAAGGATTAGACAAATTTGTAGTTATTAAACGTAATGCTATACATGCCAGGAGTTCCCAAGAAGGACTGCACAAGTTCATGAAACAGAAAGCCACAGGGGATTCACAGAAAGCCCATCTGGCTCAGGAATTCCTTGAGGCACAGTGGCTGGATGCTGGGAAAACGTTTGGGAGGGGAATCATACACACTCGTCCTGTTGTTACAGTTTGCAGCAGGCATCTGCTTATAGCTACCGCTGAAGACAGGCTACGGAGCTGGACAGATGCTTATTTAAAGTTTATACCACATTTACTCCAGCAGTCACGATCCTTTTAAACTGTGTCAATGGGAAGCTTCTCGGTGGAGACAGATGGTTGTTTCAGGGCATCTTAGCAGGACGCCGCTAATGTGGTGAAGCAATGAAAAAGCCCAGCAGAATCCCAAGAAGTGTCAGGCAAAATATCTGCAGCTGAGGCAGAATTAGTGCCTTAGTGTCCCGTGAGGTTTCAACCATATTATTACCAAGTACAGTTCTTGATACCCACTTTAAAGAGAGACAAGTTACACTGATGTAAAGAAAGGATCTCGATCTTTCTGGGCACCCAAGGAAGTCTGACTGCAGAGAGGAGACAGGTATGGTTCGGACAGCTCAGTAAAACAAACACGGGCCGTAGACACAATTCTTCTTTTTAAATACGTGAGCAGACTAAATACAAGGGAGGAGGGCTACTCAAGCTTATTTCGAAGTGGAGGGAAAAGGGGAACGAAATAAGAATACCCTTGTCACAAATACCACTAGACTAGAAAGTGAATTTTCTATTTACCAGAAGGAACATGATCCCACATCAATTTTCCAAGAGGAACAGTAACACCAACGACAACCAGCTCTCACTCGGACAGCTACAAACTCACCAGAGGAACAGCAACACAGTTGACACAGCAGCAAGGGACTGATCTCTTCCTAACTATACCTGAAAATAGCTTCAAAAATAAAGTAACCATCATGTGCCACGCAGAATACATCTGTGAGAAGGCTGGATTCAAACCAGCATGCAAACAGCCCCAACACCGACCTGCAGCCATGAAATAATCTAGACTGGAAAGACTCTTTGGGGGTCTCGAGCCCAAACCCCTACTCAAAGGAGGGCAACTTCAATCCCAGATCGAGCTGCTCGAGCTGAGTGCAGCTGGGTTTTGACTACCTCCAAGGATGGAGATTCCCTAAGTTCCTTGGGTTGCTGTTCCAGCACTTTCCTGGGAAACATTTTGCCCCATGTGCATATACATGCAGTCAGAATGTCCCTTGTTCAAGCCTACAACTGCTTCCTCACCCTGTCCTGTGCGGCTCTGAGAGTCCGGCCCCAGCCCCTCCGCAGCCTCGCTCAAGGCGCCGGAGGGCAGGAATTAGACGCCCGTCAGCGTTCTCTTCCCAAGGCCCGATTTGCAGTCCCTAAGAGCCAGCGTGGATAGTTTGGGCTGCATCAGCTCAGTTTGCCTCAGTTCCTCACTTCCCACATAGCTGGGATAAATGCATCCTTCAAAAACATTCCTGATGAACTTCGTAGATAGGGATTAAACTTCTTAGGTGTACGTGCAGACACCTAACCACTCACAGATTAATTTCATGAGCATGAAGAAAATTTTTCACGGATGAAGCATTTCTTAACCATAGCCACAAGTTACACTGCCCAAGACGTTTCTCCTACCAGTGACGTTTTTGCAGGGACAGCAGAGAGCAGCCCCTCAGCCAGGCGCACCTGATGAGAAAGGGGAAACGGCGGAGCGGACGGGCTGCGGAGCGGACGGGCTGCGGAGCGGACGGGCTGCGGAGGTGTCTGGGGCAGGACCAGGACAAAGCCGGTCGCTCCAGGCCAGGCACACTCATTTCCCGGTCCTACTGGTGGCAGGGCTGTAAATCTCACCTCTGTATTACAAGGCCTCAGTGAAACAAGGCCTTGCATTGATACCAGAGGCCAGAATTACATCTCACTTCAAAAGCAAACAGATCTCATGAACCAGCTTTCAGTACTGCGGTGCCTGGCCATGAGCAATCCCGCTGAGGACAGACTGCACCGCACAAACCTTCCGCCTCTCCTCCCCTCTGCTACCAAAGCAAAATTCGCCTGCTGCCTCTTGGGCCAGGTTTCAGATCTCTTCACCTACAGCGCGTAAGCCAGCAGAACTTTCTTACAGAAACTCGTAGAGGTCTATCACTCACATATTCAGCCCCGCTACTGGTTTACCTTGTTTCTTTACTTGTTCCAGCAGCAGGTCCTTCATGGCTGCTTCCTCCGCGATGTCAGACGGGACTTCGCCTTCACTGTTAACAGCAGCCACGTTGGCTCCGTGACTAATTAAGTACCTACGCGAACGAGACCCATGCCAATCTATTAGACCTTGCGTGCAGGCTTCAGTGCGACTTATACAGTAAAACCAAGTAGCGGAACAAAATATTTGGCTTTCTCATTCAAGTTCAATTACCAAATGAGTATCTTATTCTTATCACATTTCTAGACTAAAAAAGTTAATTGTTAAATGCAAGGTCCACTGGACTCACAGTTTGTGTTTCTCTCTAGTTATTCAAATACCCCTAGTTCTTGCACTAACCTGACAGAATACGCCTTTTTTTTTTTAGGAAAAAAAAGGATATAATAATAATAAAAAGATAAGCCAAGCCATCATCAAATTTTTAATTAGTCTTTTTATAACTATACCAGAACTTCTTTCAAGAACAATTAACGTTGTCTTTGGCTTGTACATCTTGTAACCAGTAAAATTCTGGGAAGTGAAAGAAGTATCTGTTTAAACACCGAAATATAGAAGGGTGAGGTAGGAGAAGATATTTTTGCTTGGTTTTGTTTTAAAATTTATTTTCAATGCCTTTGAGAAATAGTTATCAGTATTCAAATTTTGGTAACATTTTGGTAGCTGTGGTGGACTAAATACACAAGCACAGTATGGCTGGTAAAGAATAATATCATCTTTCATTTGTAGAACTAGTATTTGGGAAGAAGAAAAACCAAACTGATAATGGATCATCCAAAGAGCTAAGAATTGTTCCAGGAGGAGTACAACACACAGAAATAAGTGAGCCACAGAAGATATTTTTTTGCTTAGAATATATTGTAGAGGACTATCGTGAGAAATACTATTGTTTTCCCTTATTCTTCTAACCTACAATGCAGCCTTTGTCTCAGAAAAATGATTTCACTACGGAAACTACCATTTACGTTTGCCTGCTCTTTGGTTCCAGTTATTCTAGCGCTCCAAGTCATATATTTGAGCAACTCTCAAAATCTCAGAGCAACTCGTTGGTGCACAACAAGTAGCCTGGTATCAGTATCTTCTCTGCGACAAACAGACTATTAGTCCTTCGTGAGCATAATGAACGCTCAGATCAGACGCGGAATGTTATTTCAAACCCTGGAATCAGAAACTGTGCCAAGAAGAGTCAAATCTTTGTGGGAGTCACTTACAGCAGGTTACTGCTTTGCTTTAAACATCTACTGGACAAAACTGTGTTATATTTACTGTCTCTTCTTTCGTCTGGATTTTATGTTTGTACTCACTAGATCATCTAATCTCTCTATGGCAGGCCGCAGAATTTCACCTGGTTATGTCCAAACTGAACCCAGTATCTTGTGTTGGAAACAAAACAACAACAAAAAAAGAAGATAATGCTCCAATTGTAAGTGGGTTAAGTAACAAGCAGTTACTTTTATCTACTTCTCCATCTTTTGTCAGACAGTATGCAAGAAACAGAAACATAAGATCTGAATTTGAAGAAAAAGAAACGATGCTGTTGGCATATCGGTGATGGTGGAGCCCAGCACATTGCATTTCTCTCTCCAAAGTCTCCACACAACTGCAGTACTGCTCACATAGGCCTGTCTATGGTAAGAAAACATAGCTGCTTTGCAAAGCCTCAGAAGAAGGGCAAGCATTGGTGCAGTCCCCCTTTGAATTGTTTTATAGTACGCCATGTATCTACTATTTGGGGTTTACACCGGAATAGCTAGATATATGTAATTACACTAACATACACTTTGTACAGAGACAGAATTCTTTTCAGTTAGAGGACTAAAATCCCAAATTGCTCTCAGGTAACACTTAAAATTCTACACGGGCTTCCGGCTGACAGAAGCGCACAGCAGGCAGCCAGCAGCAGCAGAGCTGTGCTTCGTTACACGTCTCTGGATTAGCGTCCCTGCCTGCCAGCCACCGTGTTTCCCTTCTGCTTGGCATTGTAGCGAGAGTATCTAATGCATCATAAGTCACTGTAATGGGATCAGCAAAAGGCAACCAGTTGCAGGCTCCACCTTAGTCCTCACAAATTAAGAATTCAGTAACAGGAGAAATGCATCTATTTCCAGCATTGCTTCCCAAGGCATTGTGTAAGTCTCAGAGCATCGATCGCCTGTGTATCTGCTCCAAAGAGGGAGTCGTGGAAAGTGTTATAAATACCCAGAACAGCCTGAAACTCACTCACTCTGCTATGTTCAGGTAGCCACACGATGCCACTGCGTGGAGAGGGGTCCAGCCCTCGTTATCTTGCTGGTTCACATTGGCTCCGTTTTCTACAAGGAACTTCACCATGTCCAGGTTCTCATCTATACAGGCCTGAGGGAGAAGGGGAGGGGGGACATCCAGGGGAGGGGAGGATTGAAGAGAAGAGGAAGGGAAGGGAAGGAAAAAAAAAAAAGGTGTTGGTGTTAAATCAAGGGTACAACCTCCATTGGCAGTTTATTGGCAGCAGGTAATTCCTGGGCTGAATTTCCCACACCGTGAGCTAGCGCACCTTAAAACTTAAGGTAGCATGAATTTGTGAACAAAAATGAATTAATTTCAGAACTTGCAAAAATTAATTGTAACTCAGAGAGTCCCCAAGTGGACAACCTTTAAATTTGCTCAAGCTTCACTTCTCACCAATTCATCTGTTTCCTTCCCCTCTCCCACACTGTTACCTCCCTGGCGCACGGGCGCACTGTAAAATGAACTATCTGTATTAGTTTTAGGTATGGCATCAAACTCCTCCAAGCAAGGCAATCTATGTATTTATTGAGATTACGCTGTTCCCTCAAAATGTCAATGAAATAACGTCACAACAACGAACGAAATGAGATATCTCGTGGTAGGGATGAGCAGGGAAAGCATGAGCTCGAGAAGCCTGACTAAAGCAGACCATCCGTATACTGGATGTAATCAGATGTAACCAGAGCAAAAGCAGAATTTTAGAGAAGTTAGTAACTTCTTTATTCAGCAGTATCTATTCATTTCCTCGAGTATAATAAAATGCGACTTCCCCTGCTAGCTCTACAGACCCTGTGAGCTACTGAAGAGAACAACAACCCTTTATTAGCCACTGTATTAATTCCAGAGCCTGCATTTACAGACACCTGCTAGCTTTGAAGCTGCTAGAAGAAAACCTAGCTAGATTTTCAAGTCTCAGCAGTTCTGTTGGGTGGAATTCCTCCTTCCTCAAATTCCCAGCTACAGCACGTTCTGCATTGCGTTTACAGTTCACTGGAGGCTGCTATTTAAGGATGAGCTGGCAATTTAATACATACGTCCAAATGCACGTGCCTCAGCTGAGAAGCACCAAGCATGACCAGGAGGCGAAAGGACTGACTTTTACTGTGTGTCCATTTACAGGCAGCAACCTAGTTCCTCACTACTAGAGAGGGAATCAGCTTGGCCAAAATTCCTCCAAAATCTCAGCACTTGACCCTTTTGCACAGCTTGATGTGGGCACATCTATCAGTTATGGCAGCCAGATGACTTCCAGATGATTGTTCTTCTAAAACGAGCAACACTGGCTATCCATTCCTGTCCTAGCAAGTAATGAAAATGAGGAAATTGTCTCTAACCACCCCCACCCCCCCAAGAGACAATCCTATATTATCCAACATGTTCATCTGCTGCACTGCCTGTTCCAAAGGAGAGGCATGGACATCCAGGACATCCAACTCTTGTTATTCCACTGCAACTGCAAATCCCAAACCAGGCCTTTTACCCCGCAAACACAAGATACTCCTATATTTGCTTGGTTCACAAGTAGCCATGCAAAAGACTAGCTTTTAAATCTCCAGGGAAGCACGTTCCAGAAAACTAACTCCTAGTACAGTTACCCTGCAATCACAGGCACCTCTATGGCACTAGGAAAGGATGCCCCAGGAGCAGACTCAAGCACCCAAGTCCTGACGGAGCCTATGCTGAAGTGTTAGCATGTTTCCTGGCCCTGTTTTAGACTGTTTTACCTTAATCTTTGCCAGAAAAGCACAAGCATAATTCTAGAAACACTTTACTTCAGGGACTGCTCCAAACCCAGAACAGATGAGACTGCTCCTGGGTTGGCTCCATCCACCCCGCTCAGTCCATCAACACTCTCCCACCCTCAGGCACGAAACAGCTTCATCCTGCAAACCCAGCTCTGGGGGACTTCCCTTACATTATTTCAGGCAGTAGAACCAGAAAAAAACCAACAAGCCAAAACAAAAATCTTGGGGACTGAAGAGCATCCCACTGAGGTTGGAGGAGTCCCGGGTCCGAGCACGACGGGGTAAGACATGGTTAGGTCTGAGCAATGTGGATGCAAACTAGGCTCTACCACCAGCCTCAGGAGCAAGGTTTGTTCCTTGGTCCTCTTTATTTAGATCGTCTGGTCCAACCCCCTGCTCAAAGCAGAGCTAAATCTGATGTCAGATCTGGTTGCTCAGGGCCTGCTCCTGCCAGTTTTCACTGTCTGCAAGGATGGAGACTCCACAGCCGGTCTGGGCCCTGTCCCAGTGCTTCACCATCCTCTCGGTGGGTCACGTTTCTACTATCTAATCAGGATTCTTCTTGCTGCAACTTTTGCCTCCTGCTGCAGTAGTACAGATGTACCCTCGAAGTCACAGCGGGTGATGAGAGCAGGAAACACAAGCCAAATATTCCTACTGTACAGGGGGATTAATGTGTGCCCAATATGCACGTGATTAATTTTAAGACATATTCTAGAAGGGATACACCCCTGATTTCCATAGTCCTGCAAACTATGCGAACAAATACGTTAGTGGCTTACATCCATAACAACGCAATCAAATGCAGTAGGAAGGTGAAGTATGCAATGCACAGAGGTGGATGTGGATACACAGAGGAACATAATAATCCCTTTTAGTTCAAGGAGCAATTTTTGGGGAATTCAAGTCTCAGCCTACAAAACTCAGAGCTAATCTCTATTTTATTGCCCTCCATATTTACCGTGATATACTTCAAGTTTTCCCCCAACACACCTCATATAAATTACACTTACAGTCTTATCGATGAGTTAGTTACATTTCAACCCGGGAACACAACCATTAGGTATCACTTTTTAAATAAAACTGACTTCATCTAAAAGTGTATTGCTCTGAGAATAGCCAAGAAAAGTTCGCCTACGCAGTGGTTTCTTTTGAGCACGATCACTTCTGACTAAAGAATTATAGCCTCGAAGAATTTTATCAGTGTGGCTCTGACAAAGCAGTGAGGCAGACATTTCGTGCCTGTGCATACTTACTGCTCTGCTGTATTTGTTTAAGTATTACCTGCAGTTTGAGTGTAAATCTAACTTTAGACTGAAAAATGTCTCTATATGATGAGCTTTGTACATATTTGATAGAGAATTCTATTTACATTGTTTATCATTTAAACCACCCAAGTACACCCACTACCTCTGCACATACTGGGAACTGGCCAAGAGACAAGACCAGTTCTTGCTCAAGCCACTGGATATACTGGACTCTAAAATTAAATATCTGTTTAGGTGCATAAAAGACACACCCCGCCACCACCACCTTTTAAATTTCTGCCTGTTATTGGCCTCATTGTTCTGCTGGTCCCCGTCTCACATGGTCCCTATGGAATGCATGCTAGAAACAGAAGGGATAATGGGATCAAACCCCACCTGTTCCTACACAGAAATCTGCAGTAATTTGACTCGCCTGGCTTCTGAAGAGATAAAACGATGACAAAGCGACAAAGCTACATGGGTGCTGGCAACAGCAGGCATTCGCTCGCTTCCAAGGGAACCATAATGCATTTCATGCTTGCCGTTTGCATTTGCCACGAACATAAAGTCAAGCGCAAAGGTGTATTAAGTCCTTAATGGAGCAGCAATGTATTCTTTAATATCTAAGAAAAATAACCCTCACTCCACCCTTCTGCACCTACGTATCATGAAAAAATGCTGTTCAAGTTCTGTGATCAAGCAATGTGACACTGCTTGGCAAATATTTATTTTAATATTAGTTAGTGACACATAATAATAGAAATGAGCAGAGTTGAGTAACATGAACAGTTTTTCAAATGACTTGAGGCTGCATTAATGTTAGCAGGTATGACTTCTTGCCTGCCTGAAATATCGAGATGCAAGAATTTTTTGCATTTTTGTAACACTACATAATACGAATCATATTGGCCAAGAGTTTAAGTAGTAAGGTGGAGAAGGAGTTTCAGAAAATGGTATTCGACAGAGGTACTGAATAACCCCTGTTCAGTTCTGAAAATCTCATCATTGTCTCATGTAAGAAACTACCAGGCATAGGATTATTTGCATCATTTTCAGTCAGTTAGCCTAAAAGAATACACCGCTTGTATATTAATATGCTACAACATATTTAACACATCTTAGAGCAATAATTATGAGGATAATGAGTAAATTGGGGTAATGAGTAAAACTGGTAATTTCTAAAGATCTTCTAAACTTTAAGAACTTTAGAAAACTTGTATAAAAGTTATGACAGATTAAATGGCAGCTTTTAGGGGTTGCAATGTATTTCTGTGTACCAACTGATTAACACTTGTATGTTATCACAGAATTCATACTTGCACACACATTAATGGTATTAATAGTTTCATACACGACATCATTTTACCAAGCTATAAATTAAAGAACAGAAATTCTCACTGTTTAGAAGTACTCAGGGCACACACTTGCCCACCTAAAATTTTTGAGAGCCCTGACTGCCGATACCCCTCCAGAAAAGTCTCTGCTGCATGTTTTACTGTGCGTACCTGCCAAAATTAAGCACTGCAAAACACCATGTAAGAAAAAAGCATTCACTGAGATTCAGAGGGTAAAGTTCATCTTCTGGCTAAGCAAAATGGGTCACCTGAGGTTACCGGAGGAAGGAGAAGAGGACAAAGAGGAAATAAAGGAGGACACGTCTACTCCTTTTAAGTACTATTAATCCTCCCACCTTAAATTTAGGAGAGTGGCTAAGTTTAGTAACCCGAGAGGATCTACCGCTATGCAAAGTTCTCCTCTTTTATTTGATACAGTGCTCCTTGGGAACATTGTAAGAATAAGTACATCATACAGCAACATTACAAAGCTGACACCTGCCCCTCCGGCCCCCAAAGGGAGGAAAGAAAGTGTAAGAAAGTTGGTTGAGAAGTAACGTTGCCATTTCGGTGCCTAGTTATTTAACGTGAAGAAACGCTCCCTCTCCTAAATTGCCCTTGAAATTTGCTTTGCGTAAAGAAAAATACATACATGGACAGGCTTAATTCTTTCAATTTTAGGCTCTGCTAACCCTCAGCTGCTTGGTTACATACGTAGAAGAGGCTAAAAGCAAGGTTAACTACAGAGCACAGCA